TTGCTGGAATGTTTGAGGAGCAGGCATATCTCCCTGTTGAGCGTCTCGTGGCTCTTCAGGTACATGTCGACCTTTCGAACCAATCCCATCACGCTCGATTACATAGGAATAGCTGTACATTACGTTCCACCCATGAATTCTAGTCTAGGGAGTTGTGGCTCCTCCCGCAACATCTGCATTTCGCCTATTCTTGTACACGAGCCACACCGAAATCACGCCAAGCCAGACAAACGCAAGCGGCCATAGGTCTTCGTGCGGCTGGTTGAGCAAAGCGATCTCATGGCGTATTTCGCGTAGGTGCTGTAATTGGTCTGTGGACGGTACTTTCAGCGCCTCGAGCTGCTGTAGCAGCTGAACCAGGACCTCTTGGTGGCCCAACGTTCCATCGACACCTGCCGTTCGGTTGGTTTCGTTCGGCCCAGGAATTGGTCGCATCGTGTAACCCGGCAGAAACGCTTCGATGATTTCAGGAACGGCGTACGGGACCCAGTGTAATTGTTCACATCGAAATTCGTCCAAGGCTGGATTTGTGTTGGAAATGCCAGAAAACTTGAGAAACTGCTCCACCGACCGGACCTTGCCTCCGTGGTACTTGTCGACCTCTTCGGCGTCGACCGGACCTTTGAACGGCAGTGTCAGCACCATCCGCAATCGATTGTAAGCAAGCTTTTCTTCCATGTCGTGCTGTTCCTGGGTCATCACTTGCGTCACATTGTCCCAGAACCGCTTCTTCATCCCCTTGTCGTCCGACCAGTTGTGAAAGACGACGTGGCCGTACTTGGAAGGCGAGTACAGGTCGTAGCCACGGGTCCACAATTGCATGCTGCGAAGGTACTCTTCGCCCCAAAACACCCAGTTCATGTGCTTGTCGTTGGGAGCACGGCGCTCGGCGTGGCACTTGCTAAAGGATAAGCACCCGCCCCACAACGCCGACATCAATGGCGCATTGTGGGCATCTACCAGCAAGTAGCCGCCAATGATTGGGATGTCGGAGGTACCCACTCCAGACGGATTCGCACGACGCTTGTTGTAGGTGCACAAATGCGACGCGTAATGGTCCGGCCTTGAGAACCCGGGGCCCATGAAGCCATAGTTCATAGGATACGACGTCAGTACTGCCATTTCGTTGTCTGTTTTGAGCCATTCTTCCACCAACAGGACGTCCCAGTCCTGCAAGAATTGGCTGTGCGAGTCAATTTGGAGACAAAATTCCTCGTCTTGAATCAATTGTTGCTGCTGCCACCGCGCCAACGTCGGCCCCTTGGACGTCCGCGAGTCCCTTGCATCGACGCGAATTTGGCTTTTGAACTTGCATTCTTTCCACTCCGATGCCTCAGCCAACTTGCAATACTCGTCGACGCACGCCGTGTCGTTGTCCTGTGTTTGATCCACGACGCCAATCTTTACGCGCTCGGGGTGTTTGGCTCGGGAGAACGCCGTGAACAGCGTGAAGCCACAGCGAGGGCCGTCACGGTAGTTCGCAATTCCGATGAACAAGTCAAACGTGGTTGGCATACGTGGCGGTGGTGGACGCACATGAGCGTCACGGGCGTCCAGAGGGATGTTCTGATGAGCAGGGTCGAGGTACACCCACGGCACGCTGTCGTTCCAGGCTTGACGGATGCGCTGGGCACCTCCTTTCCCGGACATGTGACAGAGCGGAGGACCTTGGTGAAGTGATCGGCGTTCGGACTCTGATTTACCCACACCATCTCGTTACACTACGGGTGTGCAGGATACTCCGTACACGCACTTAAGAGACACCATCGAGATTGCTCGTGAAAGTGCGATTCAGTGGAATCATCCAGGAAAAAAATGCCTTCAACTACTTTTCCTGCCGAGAGGAAACATTGGACACGTGCGCTTGGGGTTCACTCCTTGGCAAGGCTCCGCCGGCAAGGAATTATACACACGACGTCAGCTTCGCTCCGATGGGCGTGAAGCAGAGGTCGTGTGTATAATTTCTTGTCTCTGCCGTCGCACTTGTGGCATCAACGAGCGAATCCTCTGCCGTCGTTCGATTCGGGTTCATCCATTACCAAAGTTTGTTGTCCAATTGCGCTTGCAAACTCGTAGAAAGGGTCAGAAATATCTTTGCCAATCACAAAAAGTCCAATTTTCCCTGTTATTGAAAAATTGAATATTGACTATCTCGTCGAGATGGCCAGTTGCCCGTTCTCAAGTTTAACAAGTCTGGCATCCCCACCGACACTTTGACGACTCGAGCAGATAACGAGTCGGACGACCACCGCAACGGTCGTAACACGTTATCATGCCATAGTCAACGAGTCCGGGGCAAGCGTGCCGATTCCTCTGCACCCGAGAAATCAATCTCCCCTATGAACGGCAGCAATGTCTAGACTGTAATGAAGATCCCGGCTTGGTGCATCCACAGTGCGACGACCGTCCAACTACACGGCACGTCAATGTTGTACAGATCACGATAAATTGTACCACAGCGCGCCGCCCAGGTTGCTCAGCAGGTTCTCGATATGCGACGACGTGTCGCGGTCCCACGAGAACGGGGTGTGGTCTATCAGGATCTCATGCTACGCTTTCCCCATGAGACGAAACCACTCGGTCGAACACGATGAAGAGCCGTACCCCAATGTAGAGCGCAATCGCGTTCATTCCGTTTTCACGGAACGGGGTCCCGCCCCACACGGCAAAATGATCCACAAGCAGGTACACCACGGCGAGGGCGCCACACGCGAGACCAGACACTGCGAGGACGAACGAGAGGCTCCACAAATTTTTGTTGATGGGGATAAACCCGCCGTTCTTCTTGAACTCGCACAGAGCCAAGCCTACGAGGGCCAGCACGACCCCGACACTGACCAACGTGCCAATTTTGTGCTTCTAGAATCAATGCGCACCACGTCACGGCAGACACAGACATGCAAGATCCAATAGTTGGCGTACCCAGTTCGTTGCTTGGAGGAACAGACCCCCGACGACATACCCGATGTACGCCATGAATGACACCATGAGCCAATTCAGCGCGCCTTCGGGGTCCCACGGACCATTCGTGTCATACACTGATGCTTGGGTCCCACCGGTGCCCATGTAGCTCTCACCAAAGATCGTCAGGTCAACCAGCAAGTGGGCGCCACCGGTGCAATTGGCATACAGACCACCGTCACCCAGTCCGCCAGGTCCTGTGGCCACGTCGATGAGTGCCAGCTCCATCACAAAGCACCAGCAGCAGCAGCACACGCACCAAAGTACCCTGTGGGGCATCCTGGCACCGGGAGCAGAAATGCGATGCCGAGGTTAGCCGCCACGACGACAAACATGACGAGGCTTTCGACCACACGTTGGAGATGCCGGAATCGATCCGACTTGCACGCGAGTCCAGCCACGACAGCAAGGCTCACCATCAAGTATGCGAATGCAAACGACTGTAGGACACCTAGCAATGGAAACGAAATGGATGGTTAGAACACGTCGTTGCCACGGTTCATCGACTATAGTACCTGGGATGCGCCCACCGTGGAGACTTCGAAAGTCGTTGACTAAGAGCAGCCCGAGCAAAAACAACCGAATCGAGCGCATGACGGCATCCAGAAGCATCTTGTGTAGCGCCGTTCCTTTTTTCGCATGTGACGACATCCCAATGTTCATCGTGACCCCCATGATCCAGACGAAGAACGGAAACACGACGTCTGCGACCGTCAGTCCATTCCACGTTGCATGTTTAAAGTACCAGAACTCTCCACCGCCCAAGTTGACGAAGATCATGGCGAAGATCGTAATTCCTCGAAACACGTCCAAGCTAACGATGCGGGGCTTTTTGGTCGATTGCAGTGGCGTGGAGATGACGACTGATGGGATCGGTTCACGCAGCATCTCGTCGAGGTGGATGTCGCTGTCAATAGCATGCGAGCGGAAAGCGGCAGTCGTGGTAGTCGTGGCAGCCTGTTGTTGCTGTGCCCGCTTTTTCCACGAAAACAGACCAACGCAAGCAAGTGGCCACAACAATACGACGACGAGCAGCACAGACATGTACGTGTGCGACGTCGTCGGGCTGTCTGTCATGAACAAGGACGCATTCACACTGCCCGAGGCGGACCTGTTGGCAAAGAGGGTGTAGTTGGTGTGCTCGTTCAACATGATGCTCGACCCGCCCCAGAGCTACAATCCAAACTGAAAGTGACCAGAATCGAGGGTATAGCCATCGTACATGGTCCCCATCGAAGTTGCGCAGCTCCATCGAGAAAGAGTACACAGTCTGAATGGTATACGTGTAGGTGCTATCGCCGGGCGCCATTTCGGTGCATTCATCGTTGCTGGAATCGCAACCGTCACGAGAGAGCGCTTGGAGAGCACACTACGAACAACAACGAAGGAAGACGTTGGAGGAACTCGGGCACAGTCTTTGGGTGAGTCGTACGCCATAGCAATTGTCGCTAGCGTAGTACAGCTTCACGCGCTCGTCCTCGTTCACGCTCGCGAATGCCACCTCGACTTTTGCCGTGTCCATGGTGCCTGCCTCTCGCCAAATGTTCAACCCTTGCAACACACTCCTCTGAAAGTTCATACTAATCGGTTGCTGTGGCAGTTCGAGAAAAATAGCCAAAATTCTGGGAAAATATAGGTGAAAATGTGAAAAAGTGCGAATCGTGCAATCTTAGTCCCCCTGAAATTCCCGATGTATATGTAGAGGTCTAATGTGGTGGACTGCCCATGTGAAGCAAGATGCAGCGTCGGTTTGCTTACTTCCTGCTTGAACGCAGGTCCCAAATCCAATAGAATTCTCGACAAAGTTCGCTAGACCGCCAAGGTGGTGCGCGCTGATAGTCCATTCCAAGGGCTTCACTTCGACTCGGTGGAGCCCATCTGATGCTTTTCGTCCAACAGTACGAGCGATGATACCGAGTCGCATCTGCGGCGAGTAGTGTTGAGAACGATGCATGCAAGAACTGTTTCTGCTATCGAGTCAGACTGGGTCCTCGATTCGCAGCAAGGTGTCGTTGAGATTCAAAGGGATGTCAATTTTAGATTGACACCTGTTGGTGTTGGCCGATGGTTCCATTCAATCGTAAATAAATGCTCCGGCTTCGCTCGAACGTACGCCTCACCAACGCCGTCGTGTGTCTGTCACCGGGATGCATGGCGGTCGGTCGGCCAACAAGTCCAACCGGTGCTGTCGTTGGGACGCAATCAAACCGTGATGAAGTATTCGTGCTTGAACATCCAAATGGCAATCATGACCCAGCTACACACGACAAGTTCAACTCGTCCAATTCATCATCCACAGACGCACCACAGGGTCCCGCCCAGGTTGCTAAGGACATTTTGCGCCACCACATCTTCGTCACGGTCCCATCCAAACGGAGCGTGCTGCCCCACGACTTCATGCTACAAAGCATGCATGAGTTTTAGTGCCAAGACGTCGTCAACTCATCTTACCCCAACGTACAACGCGATCGCGTTCATGCCGGTTTCCTTGAATGGCATGCCGTGCCACCAGGCAAATTTGTCCACGATCAAGTAGAACACGCACAGGACGACGCACGCCATCCCTGACACGGTCAGCACGAACGATACACTCCAGATGCTCTTATTGACGGGAATAGGTCCGCCTTCAACTTGAAACCCCGCCAGCCCGAGGCCAACCAGCCCCAGCACGATCCCCGCACCCATCAGAATCGCCACTTTCCGCTTCTGCGCAATTGCCTTGTGAGCCACAAGCAACACGTGAACTCACGTACCCATTCCGTGGTGGCAAGGAAAAATCCCCCCACGACGTACCCAATATACGCCGTGAACGCCACCATCAGCCAATTGAGGAGACCTTCAGGGTCGTTGTTTCCAGCGGAATAGAGATGACTGTCGCCAAACACCAACTTGTCAACGTAGTAATGGGGGCCGCACGCTTCGATTTCATTGCCTGTCAACGACATCGCTGTGAGATGGGCTTCCAAGGAAACAACGCAACGGGGGAAAGAGAGTCTAGGCAGGGATGGGACATACCCAAGTTGCTGGTGGGGCACCCAGGCACCGAAAGGAGAAACGTGATGAGGAGATTCGTGGTCACAAGGGCCGCGATGACGGCGCCTTCAATCAGTCGATGCTGCCACGTGCGGACATCGGATTTCCAATGTAATCCAACCACAATGCCAACTGAAACGGCCAAATACGCAAACCCAAACGACTGCAACACGCCGGTGATGCGCCCAGTCTTGAGGTTCCGGAAGTTGTTCACAAAGAGACCCAACAAGAAGAGCTTGACCGAGCGGACAAAGTTGCCGAGGAGGATCTCCAATGGAGCTGTGCCTTTTTTAGCATGAGACGCCATTCCGACATTCATTGTGACACCCATAATCCAGGCAAAGAATGGAAAGACGCAGTCCGCCGGGTGCAGGCCGTTCCATCCCACGTGGATGAACGGGTCCAAGCCACCGCCACCAAGGTTCACGAATATCATGACTGTGATCGTGACACCTCGAAACACATCCAGACACGCCACACGTTTCTTCTTCGGTGGCGTTGATAGTGGCGGGTTCAAATTATCGACGACGAGGGGAGCCATCGCACCGTCGTCTTCCATGATCTACATAAATGAACGCATGAGCGACGCGCAGATAGGGTGGATGTACAGGTGTCGTAACAGCGGCAAAGCTCTTCCGGGCCGACGTGTCGTCCTGCACGGAAGCGTACTCGTCGGCAGGCCGCATCATGGCCGATGTGGCAAGTTTGGTTTGCCACGGCTCTCGCTCGGAATCAGATAATCGATCGGATACAGTGAGCATGTAAATATCTTGAAATTTGTATTGACAATAAAACTACCGAGAATTGACAGTACATGCACTATTTATTATTCATGCTGTTGTGAATTGCGGTATCATATCCACGATGATTGGTAGAAAATACACCATTTAATCCTCAGCTGTGACCACGACGACCAGCAACAAATACTACAATATTTCTGAAAACCAAAGATATTTCGAAAATGAAATATATTTTCAACTGACAAGCTACTAGTACACTAACGTGACGGATCTGTGATTTGCCGAAGGATCTGTGATTTGCCGAGGAGGATTAGCCAACAGAATATCAGAATTCTTGTCATTAGAGCGATTTTGCAGATGTTGAATTCTACATAGACTTTTCTGGAAAGGTCAATCCGGAAATTTGACATTCAGTTGGTTTTGCAAACGGAAATTTTCATTCACAGACATGGCCGATGGACACGAAGTACTTCCATTAGTCGCAGCGTTTGTACCATATCCGAGATATCCTGCATGAGCTGGTCACGCTCTACGTACTCTTCTTCTGTTCCAGAGGCGCGGA